GTATCTTATAAAGTTAAATGTATTCTTACTATACTATCTATCAGCCTCACTCCTAGATATTTATTGTAAAGGAATGAAAACCTTTGTTCACACAAGAACCTGCACATAAATGTTTGTAATTGCCAAAATTTGAAGCAACCCAGATATCTCTCAGTTGTTGGCTGTTTTGTGCCGTGGAGTTGGTTCCAACTCATAGTGACCCTGTACAGGGTTTCCAAGTCTGTAAATCTTTACGGGAGCAGAAAGCCTTATCTTTCTCCCGCGGAACAGCTGGTAGTTTCGAACTGCTGACTTTGCAGCTCATAGGTCCTGTTTATATGACATCTGCACAAAACTATTATATATATTATTATATATAGTAAGAGTTTTGTAGCAAAAGGAGAGGAGTGACTTTACAGTCCAGGAGCCGAGGGCCCCGGAGCCATCAAGGGTGAAGAGAAGAGTGCGGGATCCTGCCCAGAGAGACAGTGATGCCAGAGATGGAGGCAGAGACAATGACGTGGAGAGATGGAGCAGCTGGGAACTCTAGATCCAGAGAGGGAGAGGGGCTGTGTGCTGACAACCGAGGGGCAGGCTTGCTGTGTGTACCATTTGGTTAGTTGATGATGCGTGTAGGGGATTGTACCCATGACAATGAAACGACATACGATAGGATGAATGTAAAGCTAATGTTCTCCCATGTAAACTATCACATAATTCACAATAAAACATTAAAAAAAAACACCCCAACTATAACAAGAACAGATCAGTGGTAACCTTAGTGTAATGATGGGGAAGAGTGTGCCTGTTAAGAAGTAGTACATGGGAGGGAAGTTTCAGCTTGTTGGATCTGTTGTTCTGTATCTTGATGGTGATTGAAGTTTATGACTCTATTCAGGTGTTAAAACTCATATACTACAAAAAACTCCATTTTACTGTAAATTAATTTAAAAATAGAATATAATTAGCAATAGTAAACTCATTGTTAATTAATGTAATACATTTTTATTAAAACTTGAACTATATTTTTTTAAAACAAAAAAGATAGAAAGAGTTGCATTATTTTACATTTTTTTTAACTGTCTTTACTGTTTAGTAGAAGGTGCCTAGGTTATCCTATCTACTTCTGCATTACTCTATTGCTGAATCATATGTCATAGGGTCTCTGGAAAACTCCAGGGTACACTGGTGAAATAATTAGAGTAAAAAGAACAAATAGTGTCTGAGTATTATTATGATAATTGCTTTGTCCCTACGGACCGCCTGGAATTGTCTTGAGGATTACAAATGGTTGTCATATCATACTTTGAAAGCCATTCATATATGATTTTAAATTTCAATAATTTCCCCAGCATCTTAACATTAAAAAAATTAAAGATCCTTACGCACACGTCCCCCATAACACTGTTTACTTCATGGTTTTGTCTAAATGGGCTCATTTCAAAACTCATTTTAAATTAAAGTATAAATTTTCTTTCTCGCCTATAAATGGAAAACCAGTTCCACTTATCCCATAAATAAAAGGTAAAGACAAAAATAAATACACGATGAGTAATTTAATAGATTCAACACTTTCCCTGTGAATCATCTAAAATCATTTCTGCATGCCACACTTTGGAGCTAACATAGGATTGAAGACAATGACAGTAATAATGGTAACTATAGCTAATTCATCAGTCTCCATTGATGTCAACCCAGTTAATCCTATGACTGCATCCATCAAGAAAGGAATAGACTAAGAGTTGAAACCTGGAAAGGTTACTGAAGTTGTCCAAAGTTCCATAGTAAGTTGCAGAGCTAGGATTTGAACCCAGCCAGTGTGCTTCACAATCCTGGAGCAATGCGGCTTTAGAAGATTGTTGTTACTTAGTGCCATCAAGTTGGTTCTGACTCATAGCAACCCTGTGTAGGGTTTCCAAGAAGCAACTGCTGGGTTTGAACCGCGGATCTTTTGGTTAGCAGTTCAGAGCTTATCCAGCGACTCTGTACCAGGACGTTAGGAGACAGGAAACCTGTATTCTTGTCTAAAATCTGCCAGAAGTTGGACTTGTCACTGAGCCTCACGGTTCTCAACAGTAAAACAATGATGTGTAGGATAAATCAGAGTACACAAGTTCAAATGTCTGGTGCCTACTTTTACACTAGCGGTCTCATGTTTTCTAAAGCAGGCAACTATTACTTGTTTTTGCCTTGTGGTATACCAGATGTTCCCCCAACCCTTAATTAAGAGAAGATGCAAATCTAGATATTTTAGTGTAAAATTTCTCCATTCTTAGAACACTTGATCTGGGTGTTTGGTGACTTCTTGACTAGTTGATCTCTGACTTAGAGGAGTTCCTGATCAACTGAACTGTTTTTGTCCAGTGGCTGAAGTTACATTGAAATGATGGAAATAGGCAATTTTAAACAGCGATAAAAGGGGATATAGACTTAGGAAGCATCTCAACACAGCCTGCCTAAATATTGATCATGAGCTAGGTTAATTGAAAAGCCAAGATACCTTAATAGAATAATAAAGTGTGTTTCTTTGTGTTCATTTTATGTTGCATTAGAGTAAGTCAGCAATATTTATCCAGTGCTAATTCTCAGTTTGCAGAGAGCTAATGCAATCATGAGATGAGCTTATTGAAATTCTTTTCTTAGACATAGGTACTTGCCCAAGAATGGTGAATAATAGGAACTTTAGTCAGCACTTGCTCAGAATAGTAAATATGAACATGTGATTTATGCCATTGTGTGTACAAAGTAATGTTTCCTGAGACATTTTCATATATATATATATATACACTCTTTTCTTTCTTGTATTGGTTTGTTTTCCCTCCCTCCACTGATGATCAGATTTCCTCCTAAATCCTGGTGTTTGACAATGTTGCAGGGCCGGTTTCTCTGTGAATCTACAATAAAACATACTTACTGGTAGTTTTGCAATTAATCCAAACTTGGGTTTATGGCTTAGGCATGTTTATGTGAAAGCCTACATGTGTTTTTATATATTTGTGTAAGATCTGCTAAAAAAAAGAGAGAGACAGACAGAGAAGGAAAAAGGGAGAAGTCTATAGACTGAGTCTTGAAAGATGGGTTTACTAACCAATGACATCATAAGAATTGTATTTTCTCCTGGTTAATAAACTATTTGTTTGGCAGTCCTTGTAAGCCAGCCAGGGCGAGTCATGCCATTTCTTGGAAAAGATCTGAAGCAACTGGTAATAGAAATGATAACCGTCTGATCATAGTTGGAGCTATTTGAAAATAACACTCATCTCCAAACTTTAGTCTGGGGAGCCATATTTGGTAAAAATGTTGCCAAATTCTATCTCTTCCATTGTTAAAATTTATATGCCGTGATACTTAATTATTTTCTAGTACATTCTAAATTTGATGTCTGGTGTGCCCTGTCCAGAAGCTGTTCCCATATGTGTTGAAACAATACCCAGGCTGAATTTTTATTCTGACATTTCATAATTACCATGTAATAGTTATAAAATGCATGACAACTACAGATCTTTAATTTCAAGAGGATGGTGTAGTGAAACTGAGTGAAATCATCGTTGAAATGGTACTTTGTCCTAAGCTCCATTGTTTATAAAGTACTGAAGTTTTTCTTGAGCAGAGGTTAAAAACACAGTTTGTAAGGTGTCTCCCATTTAGTGGAAGTTCATATTTAATCATGATAAGGGAAAGGACTCCATTACCCAAGTTTTACTTTTCATTTTTGACGGAGTATTTGTTATTTTATTGCTGCTTAACAAACTTTCCTCTCAGAAGCAGCTTGGTGCTGGATAAGGAAAGTGAAATTTTAGATCTACCTTAAAACCTTTTTCTAAAGACTAAATCTAGGGCTTCTCATTGTGTGACATTTATCTTAATAAACCCTTTTTTGTTTGCTCTGAAGTAATGTGCAAGGTGGGGTTGTGTGTGTTTATGGGGGGACATCAGGGAGAGTCATGTTTAACAGCAAAATTAGCCTGTTTAATAGCTTAGAAACATCTTCCTGTTGTTGTTTGTCAAAAATATTTTGAAGATTTTGTAAGCTTAGGGGTTTTCACAGCTAAGCCTTCTTCAGAAATGGGCAGTAAAAAAAAAAAAAGGAAAGAAGTCAATTCAAGTTGAAATGTCAAATGCTTCAAATAATTTAACTTAAAACCAGAGAGATGATCTTTTTTAAACCTTTTCCAAAGAGTCTTCTGGTTAGGGGCCCTCCTTTGTTCAATGCATGGATATCTATTAAATATCTTGCTGGATTAATTCTGAGTCAGAAAAGTTGGTTGTTTCCTGGAAGCAATTAGAGATGCTTAAAATTAAAATTTATGACCCATAGGAGAAACTTAAGTTTCAACTAATTTTCTTAGATTCAAAGGCTTTCTTCTCGCTCCCCTTTCCCCCCTACCCCAAAATGTACTAAAAGAAAAGTCAGTTCATTTCTCAACTTACAAAGTTTTTAAGAAACATGAGAATGTGTAAGTTTCTTTCTTTCACATAACATTTATGAAGTATTTCTTTGTGGGTTACATCACAGTTTTATTTAATTTTTAGGAAAAAGTTAAATTCAATATTTGTGTATAAGCCAAGGGAAAATGTACCATAAACATAGGAATTTGGGGGTGAGTCAGAGTTCTGAGAGTCCCAGATTTACTTAGACCCTTTATAGAGAAACAAGCTAACCATTAGTCATCTCATTCTCAGTTTTTACATTTGCAATTAATTGCACTTAAAAAATTATCCTTCATCCAAGTGGTCAGATAGGCAGAAAAAACTATGGCAACTGGCATTTAAAATGGCTATTTGAATTATTGCTCTGTTTTTGGATACTTTCTAGTGTTATAATAAATATACCATAAATTATTGCCGAACTAAACAACTAACCATAGGAAGAATTCAGCTTCTTTGTCACCGAAAAACACATTGACTGTTAGCATAAGGCTAAGCCACTGGAATAGTATTTTTGGTGAACTCTTGAAAATTTATCATTTACTTCAGACCCACAAATAATGTTTCTATTTTTCCCCAACCACATCTTGTAGGATGAAGTCATTGCAGTTTCTGAAAAGGTCATTGTGAAAATTGAAGACCTCATCAAGTGGGTACATTCCGATTTCTCCAAGTGGAGATGTGGCCCCCGTGTTGGGTCATTGAAAACCGAGGTCTTGGGGAGGAATGGACAGAAGGAAGCACTTCTCAAGTACAGACAGTCAACCCTAAACAGTGGACTCAACTTCAAAGACGTTCTCAAGGAAAAGGCTGACCTTGGTAAATACAATTTCTACTTTTTAATCTAATGCATGGGCATTCTTGTAACTTACTTTTTTATTACAGATGTTTCTGGAAACCCTGTCCGGTGTATATAGTTTCTTTAATCTGAGGGAAAAAATAGATATGGGCAGATGGATGGGTGGTTAAAGGGGAATGGATGTTGTCTCCTGTGTGTGGAGCCCATGGTTGGATGCCGGAAGATATAACACAGGACTTCTAGGGCAGTGTCAAAGAATAAAACTTAATTTAAAAAAACAAATCCACTCCAGTAGAATCCATTCTGAGTCGCAGTGACTCTATAGAGAGGAGAGAGCGGCACCATAGGGTTTCTAAGGCTGTAAATCTTTATGGAAGCAAACTGGTTCGTCTTGCTCCCTTGGAGTAGCTGATGGGTTTATTTTTAGGTTAGCATCTGAGTGCTTAATCACTGTGCCACTAGGGTTTCCTAAGACTTAATTAACCCCAAACTAACTACCATCAAATCAATTCCAGCTCACAGTGACCCTACGTAGGGTGTCTGAGGCTAAATATTTATGGGAGTCGATAGTCTCCTCTATCTCCCAAGGAGCAGCTGGTGGATTTGAACCACTGACCTTGTGGTTAGCAGCCCAATAACAAACTTACAGCGCTATATGGCTCCTTAACTGGACTCCTGGTTTGGCGCTGTAGGATTACCACTGAACTGCAAACCACAAGGTCGGCTGTTCAAACCCACTAGTTGCTCCTCAGAAACCCTATACAGCAGGGGTGTGGAACCTTTTTTCTGCCAAAATTTATAACATCTTTTGAGGGCCATACTAAATCATTCAGCTTAAAAATTAGCCTGCTAATTTGGTCATGTTGTTGTTAGATGCCATGGAGTCAGTACCGACTCATAGCAACCATGTGCACAGCAGAACGAAACACTGCCCGATCCTGGGCCAACCTCACTATTGTTGCCACGCTTGAGTCCATCGATGCTGCCACTTGGCCAATCCATCTTGTTGAGGGGGTCTTCCTCTTTTTCTCTGACCCTCTACCTTACCAAACATGATATCCTTCTCCAGTGACTGGTCCCTCCTGACAATATGTCTGAAGTATGAGAGATGAAGTTTGGCCATCTTGGCCTCTA